GAGAGAGAGAGAGAGAGAGAGAGAGAGAGAGAGAGAGAGAGAGAGAGAGAGAGAGATTGCTTCATTCTTTTAACTAACTGTACTGACTTCATGTGGTTTTTTCATGCTTTTTTCAACATATAGAATAGAGATTTCCACAAAATGTTTCTTGAAACCATGCAACTGATATCGGAGGTTCTGAAGAAATTGCAATAAAATACAATTTCAAAGTTTTGGGCTTAGGAGGCTTAAACAAACAGGTGATCTGGAAAAGAATTAATTTTGTTCACGTGGACTTAAGAAATAGACAAACAGTTTAATTTATTTCGAAGCGAAAAGTACCAAAAGTGTTTTGCTTTTGCTTTGTAAAAATGTAAGGACAATTGAACCTACCATTACACCAGGTTCGACTCCATATTGATATGACATCAGAAAAAATAATAATGGAAAAGCCCATAAACCAACAGTCTCAACACTTGGCAAGCTGCGGTCGGAGATCTGATATGACAAGATAGTTCACCCCTTTCTATGGACATTATTAAAACAACTTACTTACTTACCACCAGTTACGCCATCTGGCGTTTAGGGCAGCAACAAAGGATCTCTAGCTCTGTCTGTTTTAGGCCATCTTTGTCAATGTCCCCCACGAATGGTTCCAGGACTTCATTTCAGACTCTACTGAGCATCTCCAGGTCACTTTGGGTGTACCCCTCTTGCGATGTCCTTCGGGTGTCCAGTGGAGGACAGTCTTCGCAATAGAGTCTGGTTCTCTTCTCAGAACATGCCCAATCCATCTCCATGTTTTCTTTTTTATTATGGTGGTCATGTCCTCTTGCCTTATTAAACAAACTTCTTCAAAATTGGCCTTGGCGACAACACCCATGAGAACTTGCCAAGAGGCGAACACTTTTTTGGAGGGAGTTAACCATCTTATTGTGTAGGATTCTAGCCACAGTTTGCTGAAATTAGTGCAATGATGACTGCATTATTGCCCTTTACATAGGTCTTCTTTATTGTTTTACTTTATATATATATTCAATATATATAATATTTTTAAAGTATCCCATAAAAGTAAACATTTTTTACATACACACATATCCTTTAATTTTTAAGGTGTGATATTTTTTATTAATATAATGCATACTGAGCATTTTTTTAAAATGGAAAAGCCCAGCATAAATGGTATTTATTATTGTTATTATTTATTTCTGTCTTTAGACGTGGACGAATGTGCCCGAGACTCCACGAACCTGTGTGAACAAATGTGCTCTGACACAGAGGGCAGTTACACTTGCTCCTGCACCACAGGGTATGTGGTCAACTCCACAGACTCACACCTCTGTGCTGGTGAGTAAGATAAGATATAAAAGATACGATAAGATAAGATACAATAAAATAAGATAAGAAAATATAAAAGATAAGATAAGATAAGATAATACTTTATTATCACAGACGGAAATTTTTCTTGGCTATACCGGACCGTAAAAACACATGCAGGTACGGTATACATAAAAATTTAAATTATATATTAATCTAATTAAAATTCAATTTGAAAAGAGAAGTAAAGCTGACAAAATGTATACATATTACAACAGATGTATCATTCAACCACATGCAGGAACTTATTTACAAGACCTTTAGAGTTATAGCAGTTATAGTGATACATGCTCGAAAGAGCAGTACACATTGATGCTTATTCTGACAATAGCCTTATGCAAGATGGTAAAAAACTTCTTTTATATATATATCTTTTTTTGTTTTTAAAGGTACAAATCTCCCACTGCGTGATCTTACATTTTTGGGTGGAAAGGGGGTGTGATGGGTTGTTTATAATGCTTTTGATCTTTTTTATACTTGTGGTGTTATACATTTCATCAATTCTATTAAAATTATATCTAGAGATCTTGCTGGATTTCTTAATGATTCTGTCAAATTCTTCTTTATCTTTCACCTTACAATTCCCAGCCCAGCCGCAATACAAAATAATAACATGCTTTCAATCATAAACTTTTAAATTTCCTTTAAAGGAACATTCTTTGGTTTACATTTTGAAGCACAAGAGCAGCGTGAGTACACTGCAAACACTGCGTGGACGATCTAGCTGAACATCTTTTATGTACATTTAACAACACAATTTTGTATATGGATTTTTATCCAAAATCTTCGATGAAAGGTGCAAAAGATGTAAATTTGCAGTTTCCATGTACACTCAAGCTTTGGAAGTCACCAAATTTTGGCGGCCATTTTCTCGCCAATTTTGCCTCTGACACCAGGTGACCCCAACCCTTTTCAATTGCAAATATCTCGACTTTTACTCAAGATAGGTGGGTATCTGTTTCATTGAAAGCAAGACAAATCAAACAAGCTTTAAGATTTTTAAGATGATACTGATAACTCGAAATGCCCAAATTTTGATGAGCACCTGATTCCACTTTGACGTGATAACATATAATAATTGAAGTGTCAGACACATTCTAGTACATTAATAATTTCAAAAAGGTTAGAATTGTGAATAAGGCTTTATTCAATTTCTTTTACAATTTCGGTGTGAAGAGTATCAGTCTGAAACAGATAGAACAAAGAAAACTATAAAAATAACAATGTTGAGGAGACACTATACGCATATTATATTACGGTGCCCAATCTTTTCACAAGAAAATTACACCAAAGCAGTTCATAGCATTTTCACAACACTGACGATGTATTGTGCTTGTCAACTTTCTATAGCCAGCGCTCACTTATGCCACCTTTACAAGACTTATTTAATACTGCCCCCTGACATATTATATATTATTATCCAAGTTAAGCATTGAGTAACGAAAGTCTGTCACCATCCTGATGATTTCCACCACCCACCAATATCGCCACGATGACCACCACAGGGTGATATCATCTACATTGGCAATCACTGCCCTAGACTGTTCACTCTGTCGGATTACTTTTCGGTTCACTCTGCTATGCACAATTTGACTGATTTCAAATTAAAAGAAGGACAAAATAAGCTCAGATATTCCCAGGGCACATTAGTTTGGTGTTTCACCATGTACACGCACACACACCCACCCCCACACACACACACACACACACACACACACACACACACACACACACACAATCACACACATCTAGTCAAACGACATCACTCCCATTCTACCAATAAACAAATTCACAAGCATGCATGTAAACAAACCAAAAATACATTTTGAAAATCCTCGTGACAACCCTTATAGACAACAGTACATACTCATACCGACATACTCCTTTCGACAAATGCATACTGAAAAGCACTCACGCAAAAGACAGTAAACAGCATTTTCCCTCAATAAAATAAGAAAGAAAAAAAATTGACCCCAAACTTTCCTCATTTCCACC